CATCACAGTATGGTAGGGGCGTAACATTTTCGTCACACGCTTGAGGTATTCGGCCAAATTCGCTGGATAGCTGGCCAATCAGAGCACACCTCGCTTTTTCAGACCGATGAGCTTTGTAAAAATCGACGCGTTTCACAAAGGCGGGGCATACAGGGGAAACAATAATGTACAGTATGTGAAAAATAATGTTGTTTTTTTTACCTTAAACCGCATAAACACATTTCATTACACCAAATACACAAAATAATGTTCTTTTTTAGCAACGTCATATGACCCCTTTAAACGATCTTGAAATCTGTCATGGTGGCGTTTGCCACAGTGTTGTTATGTGGTTGCTAGGTGTTCTGAGTGTTGTTAGCGCATTTCTGTGCAGTCGCTGGGGTGGTTTTTAGGTTGCTTTTTGGCCCAAGTCAAAAGAGTCCACTTCCTTTAGTGTAAGTATGGAGTGTTTTTTGCCCACTTCTATTGGAAAATCAAAAGTCCAATTTGCTTGGAACCCTGACCCTATATATCACCAATAATCAACAAAAAATATTTTGGACATTATTTTTTTCAGAATGGTATTGTCTATTTTTTCATATTCAAAACAATATGAATTCTGACTGGTATGTGAACAACTGACCTATGGAGAAATAAAACCAGAACTATGTATTTTTATAGTTCCTTATTCTAATAATATTCTATTTTAGCAACATCATGTTTTCACATACACACTGAATTCTCTAATTCACTAACTAGTTGTTTCTACTCAACACACTGTCCTTAAGATCACATTTAAAATAATAATGATGATGATGATGATGATAGTAATAATAAAAATCTGCTACATAACTCCTAGACGTTCTTTTTAAGTTCTAGAGCTTCACTTTATGTGTCTTTCTGGAAGATCAGATTGAGAACAGCCAGAAAACAGGCCAGAACCTCTTCTTCACAGAAAACACGCAGTTCATCGATTTTCTGCTGTGTTGCTTCATTCTTTCTCAGGTAATTCCAGTAGAAATCTCTGGGTTCTCGTCCATTCTTGTGGTAGTGTCTGATCACCATAACGGCCCTGTCAGAGGTGAAGCCTTGTGTTTGTTTTGCTGCCCTGTTTAGGATGTACATGTAGGCCTGAACTTGATAATAGTACTCATGTGTTTCATTTAGGTGTGCATGATGACCACCATTTTTTGGTTGAGTGAAGACTTTGCCCACCATATCTCCAGTGGTTCCTTTACACTCAATCACAATCTTTTCACTTTTTCCCCTTTTACTTCTCCTAAGAAGTCCAGTCTTCCAGAGAGGAATCCAAAGTCTACTTTGTTACCTTTGGTATACCTCACTCTCCTGTTTGTACCAGTTTGCAGCTCGTGGTTGAACTTGAGGCATTCACGTTCATCTCCTGGGTTCTGGAAATATTTGCCAAACCTTTGTGGAGAAGATGTTATCCAGAGAGCTGACTCGTCAACATAGTCTCTGCTCTCAATGTCTCGGACATTCACTGTCACACCTGCAGAAATATTTGCAAGATTGTCTCCAACTTCTAAATGTCTCCAGCTCCTTCTCTGTGTTGTAGCATACATAGCAGGTGTGGATATGGCTTTTGTCTGGTATTTGTCCCTGAACCTAAATTCACAGCTTGTGTTTGATACATTCTTCTTCCACTGTGCTCTTCTGAATCTTCTCTTTTTTTCAAAGAAAATCATCACTGTGAGTTCAAGAATTTTTCCATTGTCTTTCAGTGACAGTGAGTTTTTTAGTTCCCAGCAGCCAAGACGTGGAATGGTGTTAAACTGAAGCTTAAAGTTTTCCAGTTCTTTTACAATATCCTGGGCTTTCTGAATGATGCCTGCGTTCTGCGAGAGTCTGATGACCTTAGGGTTCAGGACACCATTGGGCAAGTTAAATCGAAATGACTTTAGCAGTACTAGGTAGTCACTTACCGATATACCACTGGTGCTGGTGCTTCCACTGGAACCAGGCACGCTTTTTCAGGCAACAAAACCCTAGAACGGTGCCCATTTTGAACTGTCCCCAATACCTTGCTCTTCTGTTCCTCTTTCATTCTTTCCACCCGTGTTTCCAGTCCAGCCATACCCCATCCTTATTTTCAGTTCCAGCTCGTAAAAGTCGTCATCATCCCGTACCTTCT